AGTGGAAGGTGTCCCTGCCTGTGGCAGAGGGTTGGAACTGGAGGAGCTTTGAAGTCTCTTCCAACCCAAACCATTCTATGATTTTTCCTGAGGCCTTTCCTAAACCCTCCCCAGCCATGAGTGACAGGAGTGAGCTCTGAGACCTTTTACTGGGACGCTTTGTGGGGTGGGTGTTAACACAGGGGTGTCTGCAAGAGGCACCCGACACGTTTGCACATCGGCTTTGCTCCTCAGGGCTGCAGCCGGGCAATGCCAGCCTATGGCCACACTGTCAGACCGGTGCCCGTGTCACCCTGGTCAGCCAGCGGGTGTCACCGTGTCACGCAGGGCCTTGGGCACCCCCCTGGGGGCGGGGCCTGCCGCTGTCGGGGGTTGCAGCCCTGGATGGGCCATTTTGTTGGGATTTTTAGGGTGCGACTGCAATGGGCACTCGTCTTCGTGCCACTTCGATCCCGAGCTGTACCGCGCCAGCGGCGGGGCGAGAGGCGGCGTCTGTGACAACTGCCAGCACAACACTGAGGGCAACAACTGTGAGCGCTGTAAAACCAACTATTTCCGCAACCAGCAGCAGGATCTCGCCCATCCTGAAGCCTGTCTGCGTGAGTGCCTGTAACCCCCCCCCAGCACCTTCCCGGGGCCCTCGTTCCCCCCTCACCACTGCTGTATCCTGCATGTTTCCAGCCTGCGAGTGTGACCCTGATGGCACCGTGCCGGGCTCCACCTGCGACCCGCTGATAAGGAGAATGTGCAGGGCGACCGCTGCCACCTCTGCAAGCCGGGGTTCTCCCAGCTGGCCAGCGCCAACCCCGTGGGGTGCCGCAGTGAGTACACCCCCGGAGACATCCCCTGCACCCCACCTCTGTGCTCAGCATCCACAGTGGCTCTGAAGGGGACTTGGTTCCCAGCCACCTTTGATTTGGTGGTTCCGAGCTAAAGGCCTGATTTGCAGAAGCTTGTAAATGCTTCCCCAGGTTGTGGCTTGTCCCAGGTATAAGCTTGTCAAAGAGAGCAGGGAAGGTGGAGTCTGGGACATGTAGGGCTGTATCCTCTTCCCAGGAAGCCACAGGGGATGCAGGAGGTGATGTCTTGCAGGCAAGCAGGGCTGTGCATGATAAAGGGCAGCTGTGGATGGGTTCGGGGTTGTGCATGTGGCTGGGTTGGAGGGATGCTGAGACCCCTTGAGCTGCTGAGTCCTGCTGCATGGCTGGAGGACGCAGCATGGTGTTAGGGCAGAGGTGTGGGTCCCTTGTGCTGAGCTCAGATATGAAGGGGAGAGCCAAGAGAGCTCATCTTTGTGTGGCTGCAAGGTCGTCCTGTGGACCTGGCTCAGTGGGAAGCTAGGCTGGTGCTCTGCACCCATTTTTAACGTGACAAACCCCTCCCTGTTCCAGAATGCACCTGCAATGTGCTGGGAGCGCGGCAGGACGTGCCCTGCGATGACGAGACAGGGAGGTGCTTCTGCCTGCCCAACGTGGTGGGGAACGACTGTGACCAGTGCGCGGGCGAGCACTGGGACATGGGCAGTGGCCACGGCTGCCAGCCCTGTGGCTGCCACCTGCATGGCTCCCGCAGCCCCCACTGCAACCAGGTACCACCAGCCCGCCCCAGGCATCCTCAGGGCACATTCAGCATATTGCAGCAGTATTTCTTTTTCATTTCCCTGCCTTTTTTCATGCACACACCTGCAAACTTGCTCTTTTTTCTCCTTTGCTGGGGATCACTCAAAACATTGAAACCATCTCTTCTTGGGTGGCTCCATTTTCCCATTCTATCTGTGGGAGCCTCCACAAAAAGGGCTGTGCATTCCCTAGGGTGTCCTGCTCTTATTTTCCTTTTCCCATGTCCTAGAAAACACCATGATAGACTACTCAGGAAAATGAAAGAAGGTGGTAATTATCGAGGCAAGATTAAGCCATTTGAAAAGGCCTGGTATTTAGTAAGGAAGTCCTAATAAGAGATCTTCATACAGGCGAGGCAAGCTAATTATCCTCATTTGTCAATGAAAAGTGTGTGTGTCACTTCAGGCCTAAGACACAACTGGGAAAATTAAAGTTAAATGTAACAAAAAACTATGACAAATTCAAAGAGCCAAAGATAGGTCCCAAATGGGCTCAGTGTAGGGAGGAGACCTGAGATCACAAAGCAGCTGCTTGTGGGCGATCCCTTTGTCTTTGAAATAAAGCTGAAAACTCTGCTCTGTAATGCTTGGGCTGTATGCAGGTTGAGCCTGCAGCCTGACACAGCAGCATGGACATGTCCTGGGGCACAGGCTGGGCAGGGAAGATTGTCTGTGTGCTGGTTTCAGTGCTCAAGAGCAGCTGAGGAAGGGCTTTCCCAGGAAAGAGCCCAGAGCTGGGTCTCCCTGATGTATTTCTCTTTCCTCAGTTCACAGGACAGTGTCCATGCAAAGAAGGTTTCACAGGACGGACGTGTTCTACTGTGCAGGAGCAGGTTTGCCCTGACAGGCACTACGGAGACATCCGGGTAGGGTGCACAGGTAGGGAGCATCCCTTTCATTGTGGCTTGGTGTTTCTTAGCACTGTGAAATCACAGGTTATCTGGGGAAGAGCACTTGGCCCATGTCCTGACATCAACATTTCCTATGCTGTTTTGCAAGAGAAACTTACTCTCTGCAACAGCCTCCCAGTTCATCCCCATCTCCCAGTATCCACCACTCCCCTCCCAGCAGCCCTGGGTGAGCCCCCTGCAGTCTGGCCCTGCAGAGTCAGGGGCTGGGCAGGTGACTGGGCTTGGGGGCTCTTCCCATTCCTCTGCCCAGAGAAGCTGTGGCTGCCCCATCCCTGGCAGTGTTCAAGACCAGGTTGGACACAGGGGCTCGGAGCAACCTGCTCTAGTGGAAAGTGTCCCTGCCCGTGGCAGGGGGTTGGGACTGGAGGAGCTTTAAAGTTCCTTCCAACACAAACCATTCACGTTTCTATGATTTCCCAGATGATGCGGGGCTTGGATTTCAGGATGTGTTGGCATCCCATTAACAGGGTCTGATTATATACATATATGCATTTATATTTTCCCGATTTTGGTGGGCTTCACCTCTATATCTCTCCCCCTTTCCATCACTCAG